CTACTTGTTACATGATATTGAGTAGTAGGAGATGGAGTTAAGAGATGTCTTTTTTTCTGATTTTAAGGGAAATGCACTTAAAATTTTTACTATGAAGTTTACCCTTATATATGATATGTGCTATAATTTTTGGTCAGTCAGTACCCTTTATCAGATCAAGAAAATCACCCCCTTCCTCATTTATAAGAGTTTTTATTCTGATATTAAATTTTAGCCAAAGCAACAGGACAAGAATAAAACAAAATTATCATTATCTGCAAATAAACTACTAGAATTAATAAGAAATACACCAAGATTTCTAGGCATTTGATAAGCACATAAAAATGAAAAGCATTTAAACATAGGCATAATCAATTGGAAAATGTAATAGGAACCAAAATAAAATCCATACTATAAAAATGCAAAGTATCTTAACAAAATATCACTACCAAAGTGAATCTAACAAACTATATGTAAAATTTTATGAGGAAAATGCATTAAATGTTACTAAAGATCATAAAAAGAAATCCTGAATAAATAGCAAGATAAAAAATGATTATAAATAGAAAAACTCAATACAATAAAATGTTTCTCTATAAATTATTCTATAAATTCAATGTAATTCCAATCAAAATACCAAGAGGATGTTTCTAGGGTATTTTAGCACTATTCTGAAATGTATGAAGAATAGTAAAAGTAGACAAATATCCAAGATAATTCAGAAAAGGAAAAATGAGCAAGAGGATTTGCTTTATGAAAAATAAAAAATTTTTATAAAGTTATAAATAAGGGGGACCAGAGTGGCATAGAGATAGACAAGCAATCAGTGGAACAAATTTGAAACACCAGAAACAGACATGATAAAATACAGGGAAAAAAACCAGCAGCACTTCAAACATCTCACATCATTTGCGCAAATTGGCATAACCATAGTGAAAAGAAATTTGGCAATATTCTAGGACAGCTAAAAAATAAACATGCACATCCCATAACACAGAAACTCTACTTCTAGTCTCACATACTAGAGAACCTCTCACAAACAAATGAGACATTGAAGATTTGTTCATAAGAAAAAAGTTAGAAATATTGAAATGTGCAATCCAGAGAAGGAATATCAAAATGTGATACATTCGTGTTAAAGAATACTCCACATCAGTTAAAATAAATGAGTAAATCCATACTTATTAACATGGACAGATCTCTGAAAAACCTAGATAGACTGTAAGAAAAGGCCTTGAAATGTAGTGTATGGTATGAGATTTTTTAAGTCATTATTAAAAGCACAAATTTATTACATACTCTTTACAAAGGCATTCAGTAAATACATAAAAATATGCTCTGTACAGACCCCTAATTCATGATAATTATTCCTTCTGAGGAGGGAAAGCATTGGACCAAAAAGGGAAATAGAGGAGATTTAAACTTTATATTTGATGTCTTATCTCTTTAAAAACAAATCCACCACAGTCCAGGAGAAAATATTTACAAAGAACGTATCTGATATAGGTGTCTTATCCAAAATATACAAAGAGCTCTTAAAAGTTAACAATAAGAAAACAACTCAATGTAAAAAGGGCAAAAGAGCTGAACCCCTCATCAAAGAAAGTACACAGATGGTAAATAAGCATATGAAAAGATGTTCAGCATCATGCATCATTAGGGATTTGCAAATTAAAACAATGAGATACCGCTGCACACCTATGTTGCCAAAATCCAAAGCACTGAGAACACCAAATGCTGCCAAAATGTGAAGCAACAGGAACTATCATTCATTGCTGATGGGAATGCAAAATGGTACAGCCACTTTGGAAGACAGTTGGCAATTTCTTTAAAAACTAAACATATTCTTACTATAGGATCCAGTAAGTGTGATTTTAGTTGCTTCCAAATACGGGCAACTGTAAGTAATTTGTTATAAATATTCATGGAATATTACCAAGCTCTGTTTTAGTCAGCTTTTTCACTGCTGTGACTAAAAGGATCTGACCACAACACTTTTAGGGAAGGAAAAGTTTATTGGGGGCTCACCATTTCAGAGGCTCAATCCATAGACAGCAGACTGTATTCCTCTGGGACTCAGGGTAAGGCGGGACATCGTGGTGGAAGAGTGTGGCAGAGGGAAGCAGCTCACAGGATGATCAGAAAGCAGAGAGAGAGAGAGAGGTCTCCACTCAACAGATACAAATATATACTCCAAAGCCATGCCCCCAATACCTACCTCCTCCAGACACACCCCACCACTTCAGTTACCACTCAGTTAATCCCTATCTGGGGATTAATTCACGATTGGGTTAAAATTCTCACAACCCATTTCTCCTCTGAACCTTCTTGCATAGTCTCACACGTGAGCTTTTAGGGGACACCTCACATCCAAACGATAACAAGCCCTAAAGAGGAATTTGCTGTCCAACCATGAACAAGCAACAGATGCATATTACTAAGTGAAAGAAGACAATCAGAAAAGGCTAAATATTGTATGATTCCAAGTATATGCCATTATGAAGAAAGCAAAACTAGGGAGATAGTAAAAAAATCAGTGGTTTCCAGGAATCAGGGTTAAGAGAGGGATGAATTGGCAGAACCCAAGAGATTTTTAGGGCAGTGAAACTACCCTGTATGATACTGTAATTGTGGATTCATATCATCACACATTTGTGCAAACCTATAGAATGTACAACACCAAGAGTAAATCCTAACAGAAATTAGGGACTTTAATTAAGAATATGTCAATGTTCGCCCACTGATTGTGACAAATGTACCCCACTGGTGTGGAATGTGAATGACAGGGGAGACTCTAGGGGGAGGGGAAGAGGGATATGGGAAATCTCTGGATTTTTCCACTTTCCACTCTTTTGCTGTGAACCTGAAACATCTCTAAAAATAAAATATATTTCACTTTAAAAATCTGAATTACATATGAAAAATGTTAGGCATTTGTTCATTTTGGCTGGTGGTTTTCTTTTTGTTGACTTTTAATTTTCAAATAAAATATTTCAAAAAAATTGATCAGAAATATCAACAACTGTAAATTTAGAAAAAAATAATGATTGATATTTAATAGTCGTAAGA